CCAGCTCCTCACTGAGGGCCCGTGAAGAGCATGTGTCTGTCAAGAAGAAAACGCACTCTACCTAGTTCACACTCATCCACACTTAAGCCTCCATGCATGTGCGCACATGCACACACACACACACACAGTTATTCAGACATATGCCTACTCACATACCTTGTATCCAGAAGAATCAGAACTGCATACATCACAGAGAACCTGACTTCATTTCCGGGGCAGCTGAGAGCCAAGGGCTTTGGTTACCAAAAACCCAAGCCCCTCATGCCAGGTCTGAGACCACCCTGGGCCCTGATCTTATATCCACGTTCTCCATAGGTCTGGCTCTCTCCAGGCACGATCTTTCCCAGACCCCCTGTATTTATTCTCCCCTTTTCATCCTAGCAATCCATCAAGAAGGAGGAAATATGGAGCCTCCCCCCAAGTTGTCTCGGGGGGCTGGCTCTGCCAGGCTCTATCTGTCCTTAGCAGACACTCTGTCTGGCACACAGGAGGGGCACCATCCACCCCAGGACCAAACTGAGCCCAATTCCAACACAAAGTGTTTGGAAAAGCCCGTGCCCCGGGAAACTTGAAAGTGTCCTCTTCTCCCGTCCTGGGTGCAGGGAGGGCCCCCCCGGTCACCAGTCTCCTTCAGTAGTTTAGGTCCCAGCTTACTAATTACTTCCAACTGTCTCAGACAGCCTGGGCATTCAGAGAAGGGAAACCTGGTACAGGCTAGGGGGCAGCACCCATGCCCCTTCCCTTTGACTGCCTGGCAGGCCCAGGATGCCCCTGGTATAGGGGTGTGGCTGAGCTGCCTGCTGTGTATTACCCAAGAGCCCAATTAAGTGGGAACTGCAGCCTACCCTGGACCTGGGGGCAACAAGAACCCCCAGAGTTTGGCCCCAGGTTCAGATGAGGTACAAGAAGATCCCTCCATGGCCTGCCATTGTCCCCTGTTCTGGAACAATAAAGCAAGTGCCTTGTGGTCTCGGCTCCCAAGGCTTCATTTCTGGATCACCGCTCCCTGAGCAGAAAGGCCAGGACAGCTAACTGTGGACACCCCGGTCCTGTGTTATCATTCACCACCAACCAGGACCATGAAATTTCCAAACTTAGAGTGAGGCATTCAAGAGGACACCCTGCCTATTCAGAGGGAGCAAGAGGGTGTTGGTAGGTTGGTCTCTTCCCAGGAACACTTCCAAAGGGATGCGAAAAGTACCATGCCCTCTCCACATGCCACTTCCTCTGACACGCTCCATCTCCCCAGGCAAGAAAAGGGTCACTGCGCCTTCCTGCCCCCCATCTTACCCTGAGTGGGACTCTGGATTCCTCAGGGGACATGAATAGAGCATAGCCTGGTGCAGCGTCCACTGCTGGCCCTGGAGGGTGGTCTCTGGAGATTCAGGAACCCACTTCATCCCAGGTGCCCCCCACCCCCAGGACCACCAGGCAGTCTGGTATCACCAAATGGCAATCTGAGAGCCCCACACTCTGCTGCATAGGGACGGGGCATGTGTGGGAGCCAAAAGCACAAACATGAACCTCGGGTCTCAGAGGTGGGGCCTCTGCTTAGAAAGTGCTTGCCCTGGACCTGGGGACCAAGTAACACCTACCTGCCGCAGAGGACAGCTCTACAGAAGAACCCATAATACAGCCCACCCTCCATCAGCACCCTCCCTCCCGAGCCTGGAAGGCTGGGTCCAGGACTAGAGGGTCCGAGTGGGGTGAGGAGTGGGGGAAGCAGGGCCAGCCAGGGCACCCAGGAGGAAGCCCCACCTACTTCAGCCTGGCTCTGGTCGTATGGGAAGGGGATGAAGCTTCCCTTCAAACCCCCCACGCCCCACTGCCCAGGCACAGCGCACTTCAGCACAGCTGACCCCCAGGCCTGTGTCTTCATGCCCAGGCCCCCAAGGCCAGAGTGTTATGTGAAAGAAATTTACAGGGACCCACTTCCTTGCCTCAGACCTTCAGACCCTGAAAGTTCAGACAAACTTACTCTACACCCCCAGCCTAGGAGGGGAGCAGAGGACATCTCCACCAAGAAGCCTCAGACCTGGTCCAACAGGCCCAACCTCAGCACCGCCCCTCTCGCGCCCCCACCCCCTCCCCCCCACACACAAGTAAGACAGGTGGAAAGCACTGAGGACTTTGGGTCTCATGTTAGGTAGCTAGTTAGTTTAGTTTCATTAGTTGGTTGGTTGGTTGGTCGGTTGGTAACCAGGCTGACCTTTAGATCTAAAACTGAGTGGCAGCGCGACTGAGCAGAGCCCTGCACTGCCGCTCTTATGCTGCCCCCTACTGGCCTCCGCGCGCCAGGTGTTTAACCCCGTTTTAAGGTGAGCAAGGACCCGTCAGAAAAGAAGCCCGGCCTGGAGGTTTCCTATTAAGGGGAAATGAATACTTTTCTTCAGAGGTTCTAAAACTGGCTAGAAATCATGGATCCATGATCTTGGAGGGAGAAATTAAACCTTCACTTTCACTCACCTCTACCTCAAATTTAGCATTTCCCTGGATAATGTCAGCCACAGATCATAAGAGCTGTGCAGAATCTGTGACTTTGTCATTAGATAGACCGATGAGACTGGAAATGACAGGTGTTGTCATATAACACTGCTGGTATTGAAAAATATATAAGGATTTTTAATACATAAAATAGATATGATTACAATAGATTTTATGTTTACTTAAAAAAATATCTTTTGTCCCTAGGCCTCAGCAAATAACAACAAAGGGGGCCATGGCACACAAAAAAATCAAAGCACCCTTGCTTAAGGGGTGGAGGGTGGCTGGGGTGGGGGGCAGGCATGAGGGAAGGCACAGGGAGCTAGAAATGCAGCTCTTTACCAACTACAGGGGAAGCAACCAACAAATTAACAACCACCTGGCAATCCAAGTGTGCAGCGCTGCCCAAGCAGGCATGAGGCAGGGGTCTCTCTAACATTGGAGCTTTCCTGCTAAACTCAGTGGTGGCATCCTCATAACGCCCCTGACGAGTCAAAGCAAAAATATCTGGCCCACTTCAGAGACAGGCTCTGAGGCCCAGTTTCACCAAGTAAGGAGTGACTGCTGTGCTCACAGGCCCTCCACATCAGAGGCCGAACTAGCCCCACCCCCACCATGTCTTCCTCCTTCTGTTGCCCAGGGATCCTCTAAGACTTCCCAGGGAAGTGCCAGGGACCAAATGCAGCACGTGACCCCATTAGCAGCAGGACCATTGCCAACAGCATTAAGACTTAAAAGGAGGCAGGGGACTAGGCTTTTCCCAGCTGGGCCTCCTCCAGGCCCAAAGGACACAGGCCTATGGGGGAGCACTAACCCGCTGAGTGCCAACCTGGTGCCTGCTCCAGGTGGAATCCCCCTCCCAGTCACAAGCTGGAGTACAGCGGGCCCAGTACAGAACCTCAGCCCAGTTCCTCTTAGCAGAACAGTGAAGAGGACAGTTATCAGGGTGGCAGGGGAGGGCTTCTTCCTGATGTCTGTGTAGGTGGAAAAATCCCTCATGCTCACTGGAGTTTCCCTATAAAATAACACCACCAGGACCTCCATGGTGGCGCAAGGGGTTAAGTCTCAGCACAATGGGAAGCCACTGCAGCACCAGTTCAATCCAGATCCCAGCCAGGGAGTTGACCCACATGACCCAGCAGACCTCTCCTGACTCCGCCCACTGCTCCCCTCAGCAGTGTATTTCAGTAGATCCACCTTTTCTGCTCCCTACTGTGTCTCTGGTGAATCCTCTCACCCCCCCGCATCTTTGGCCTGTACCCTAGTTCTTCTACGTAAAAATAAATTTAAAATCTTAAAAAAAAAAAAAACCCAGCACCAAAACCCTAGGGTGCACACAGAAAGTACTCTGTAACACATGAATGGTAGCATCACAATGCCAAGTAGGTCTTTAGGTCTAAAAAGGTCTCCAGTAGGATAAAATAAACCAAGTGAAGGGCCTCCCTGGTGGCCTAGAGGTTAAGTCTCAGCACTTTGGCCTGAGTTCAATCCTCAGCCAGAGAGCTAACCCATATGTGGAACAGCAGACCTGTCTCCCCTTAGCAGAGTATTTCAGTAGATCTGCTTGTTCTGTTCCCCACTGTGCCTCTGGTGAATCCTCTCTCCCTCACACCTCTGGCCTCCACCCCAGTTCTTCTACGCAAAAATTAAAAAAAAAAAAAAAGTAAAGGAATCAGGAATGAAATTATACTTACATACACAGGGTTGGATTGAATACACCTGGTAACTCTCACCTCCCAATCGTGGCTTTACACTGTACCATACCCCTAAAGGCTTTCTCCCCTCTCTTCCAGTTAAAGTTGTCCCATTTACAAGCACCTGCTCCAAAGTTGCCTCTTCCAAGCAGGATGAATTGCTCCCGTATATGACCAGCCCATCTTATTCTTGGGACAGGTACTTTTTCCCTATGTCTCACTCATTTTAGAATTTCCAGAATTCAGCCCAGGTTCTGCCTCACAGAAAAGGCTCCATAGAACCCAGGGTTCTGGGCCTCCTCAGGTTACGCCAACTTCTCAGGGTTGGCCCCAGGCATATTTAAATGAGTGCCTGGAATAGTAGGGCGCATGCCTTGAGTTCTCTGCCCAGCTCAGTTCCTGAATTTCCTCCATTAAGGAAATCAAGACCTCTGCGTGTGGGGTAAGGCTGGATGCCAAGGGCGGTGTTATATGTAGGGCACAATGACAAGGATGTCCCAAAAGCAGCTGATGGCAAGGAGCTGGATCTAGGCCTTAGCCCAAGTCCTGCACCTTCTCTCTCTGACAAGGGCCACTCAACCCACTGGTTAGGGAGAGTCAGGGCCCTTGTTGCAGCCTCTGTTCCGCCAAGGTTAGCTGCAATTTCAGGCCAAAGCTTGCCCTCTCAGGGCCTGGGTTTCCTTTATCAAAGGAAAAACCCTTTCCAGCTGCAACATGTTCTAAATGCTGACGCGAGATGCCGAGTAAGGTGTCATGTGCAGAGGACTAGGGCACAGGAGGACTTGAGGATCACATTATCACCTGTCCCACCCTCCTGCCCCTAACACACACACACACACATGCTGGCCCACTGCCAGAGAACAGAAAAGAAGTTTATTGAAAACTATATACAGGTGCACTAGCCCCTCCCTCACTCGGGCAGTGTCTAAGCCCCTGATGGGGGAGACTGGGCAAGGCCAGGGCATAGACTCCTTTGGGAAGCTTGGCAGTCATGGGTCTTCATCTGCAAATATACTATAAACGGCCTGTCAAGGGTGGGCAGGGCACAGAGAATGGACCCCCACCCTGACTTAGGCAAAGCCCAGTTAGAGGAACACTATTCTGAAACTTGGACCCAAGCGGCCGGCCAGCTGTCCGGAAGAGGTGGCTACTCCTCTCGCAGGAGGCCTTCCTGGACAGGGAGGCAATCAGCCTTCCTCCCACCAACCCCATGTGCCAGGCTCCCTAGGTTTTGTGGACGTGGGACAGGGCCATCGGCCACCCTCCCTCCCAACATTGCCTCAGAGCCAGGGGTTCCTGGAGCTCTCCCCAAGAAGACCGAGAGGTGAGTATTAAGGAGGTCATGGCTGAGGGCCCAGGACCCTCCTGGGCCAAGGGCCGGTTGCGGGGAGTCACGGAGTCCCACTGTAGGAATAGTCTGCTTTGTTGTGCATCACCAGCCGGTCGTCCACAAAGTAGAAGCTGTCAGACTGCGTCTCATACGGGTGACGGATCATCTCATTGACTGTAAGAAAGGCCCAGCCGATTGGGGCAAAGGTCAAGAGCCTGAGCCAGTTCACTGCAGGGGCTTCAAGACTAGGGGAAGGGGACAAGCTGAATAACCTCTGAGTTCCCCCAGTCTCTGTGCGCCTCAGTTTCCCAATAGGTGATACGGGATTGGTAGCCAGACATACAAGCGGCCCAGGGTGGAAAAAAAGGGGGTCAAGAACCACATGCAGGGGCCTCCCTGGTGGCGCAAGGGGCTAAGCAACGCACTATGAAGCAATCCACAGCCTCTGCAGCACGAGTTCGATCCCAGGCCAGCCAGGGAGCAACCCACATGGCGAGGCAGACCCTCTGTCTCTCCCGCTGCTCCCCTCAGCAGTGTACTTTAGTCAGTCTGCCTGTTCTGTTCCCCACTCTGTCTCTGGTAGATCCTCTCATCCCCTGCATCTCTGGTCTGTACCCCAGCTCTTGTATGCATAAATAAATCTTTAAAAAAAAAAAAAAAAAACCACACACACCCCCTCCCCCAACTTGGTCTCTACAAGTCCTCCCTTCATTCCCCCTTCCCATGAGGCCCACGCACTCAGCTCCTCAGAGAGAGGGGGGAAGTCGTAAATATGTTCGCAGGTATTCTTGCTGCTGGGGATGCAGAAGCCAAAGTGGAAGTCAAAGCTTTTGAGCAGCTGGTTGCGGAAGTAGTGCCTCTCAATCATGCGGAAGTTGTTGACAGGCTTGTCTCCCACTGTAAACTCCACCCTGATGGAAAGAAATGGGCAGGGTTGAGCTGGGCCTTGAAATCAGCCAGCCAGGCTCAAGACAGACCACCCCTAAGAGAGGCTCAGTAAGAACTTGGGAAGGGCTTTCCTCCCACCCTCACCCCCTCAGCCCTCGCCCAAGCCCAGTGACTCACGTGGCTCCCACCTGCCTCAGGCGGAGGAAGGCAGGCGTGAACTGGTAGCGGACAAAGCGCCCAGCATTGGGGTCCAGGTCCCGCCGGTTGATGGGCAACCGCTCTGCAATGCACCCCAGCTGGGCTCAGTGGGCTTCAGGCTGGGGCCCTTGCCCACCCAGGGCTGCACCCCAGGGTCCCCATCTGTTTGCATTTTTTAAGCCCCCCCAGGTGATTTTGATGCACACTGAGGATTCATAACATTAGCAGAATGGTCCCACCTGGGGGGTTCTAGGTCAGTGGGTCACCAATTTCAACTGAGTCCTGGGGCCTCTGGGGCTGCAGTTCCCAGAGAGGCCTGCAGAGGGCAGGCTGGCAGGGACAAAGGGCAGGACTGTCTTCCCAAGAAGTACAATCCCAGAGATCAATGGGAGGAAAAGGGGTCCAGCCCCAGGCATGCCCTTGGGAATGCTGGGGTCCAACTCCCAGCTCTGTTCTGACTCCTCTGTGGCGTGAGAAGTCCCGGTGCAGCCTGCTTCACAGCCCTCACCTACCTCTCTATTGCTGGCCCACCGGCCCGCTCACCTGAGGCTGGGGGCTTCTTGATTTCAAAAAGGACAGTGCCTGAATCCATGTCCCGAATCTTGAACCTGACGAAGTCGATCTTGTAGATATTCTCCTCGGGGGAGCACAGGTAATCTAGGGGAGAGAGGCAGATGAGCAAGAAAGGGGGCAGGTCCAGAAGCTCCTGTTGCCAGCGCAGCTTTTCTGGCACCCCAGACTAGGTGCTATTTTCTCTGATCCCTAAGGCCACTCTGCCTTCTAGAAAGGGTGAACTGAGCCCCTGTCCTTGGGGAGCCCCCACAGTGTAAGAGACAGAGAGCTCTGCCACTGAGATATAACTGGGGATAAACTGAGGAGCAGAGCAGAGGATGAGGCCACCTCCCCCACACTTTCCCATCCACCCTGAAGTTGAGTCAACAGACTCATGGTGAGGTTTTAGACAAATGGGTCTCTAATCTGACGGGGTGCCCCCAGCATGAGAGGGAAGACACAGTCCTGTTTGAGGGAAACCTCTTCTAAAGGGGGTGATATAGCTCTGCCTCAGGAGAGACAATTTTTCTCTAAAGGATACTGCCAGCCCAAAGCTGCCCCTGGTGCTATTATCTAGGTGGCCAGGCAAGGACTTGCCCTGACCTCAATAGTGCTGGGGCAAACAAACAACCCCTTCCCTGTTCCTCTTCACCCCCAACGCCTGCTCTCCCCATAAGCACCTGCTCTCCCCATAAGCGGCTTGTAGGAGCCTAGCTCCATTAAGCAGCTTAATCAAAGCTCTGCTGACTCAAGGCCAGAGCCTAGAATACTGGGGGGAAGGGGATCACCTTTACTTTCATCTCATTGATCTCCAAATGGGAGGAAGTTTTAGCAAACAAAGTGAAGCCCCTCAGAGGTCACCCATCTAGATCCTTGGCTATGAACCACCCTCAAAAAAGAAAGCACAGGCAAGGGGAAGCAGAGGGTGTGGTAGGTGCAGCAGGGGCGGTGCATGGGGGTAAGAGGAGTCCTCTGGTCCAGAAGAGGAACCAGGAATGGTGGTAGTCCCTGCCTGAGGAAGCTCAGGAATATCAGGGCCTGACCCAACTCTCCATGCTCTTGCAGGAGCAAGGGCAAAGTGTGTTCTGGGAGGCTCTGGTCACAAATAGGAAGAAGCAGAGAGGCATAGTGGGGGGGTCCGGTGCTATCTGCCTGCACCACAACACATCCTCCCCACTGAGGCCCGGAAATCACCCTCTGGCCCCTGAGCCACCTCCTATTCCTCTGAGGCAGGAAGAGGAAGTGAATGTAAAGCCACTCTCTTCCCCAATCGTTGGACAGCCCCCTCCAGGAAGCCCTCCTGGTAACCACTTGGTACCCTGAGGCCCAGATGGGACTACATTGAGCTTGGGGAGGGGTCTGAGCCCTGGTCTGCCCATCACAGCCCAAGGTGGGAAAATGAGAAGCGGCAGAGCCTCTACCTCACTCTGTATATACCTTATTTTCACTAAAAAACAAACACTAGTCCAAAGTATGAAAAGAAAGTGCAAGGCACAGAGAGAGGAGGAAGAGCTGGGAACAGGATCCTAGTTACCTAACTTCTTGTGACTTTGGTCTCTTTTAGCAAATTCAACCTGTCTCTCCATTCCCCCAATCTTCACCCCCTCTTCCCCACTCCTCGGGTCCTTAGGAGACTGAGGAATGGGGATGCCATGGCTCAGGACACCACAGCCACTCCATTCAGGTTCTGCCAAGGAAAGATGAGGCTTGGCACCAGGGTTAGGCCAGATAAGAGGCAGTGTGGCCAAGGGCTCAGGACAGACTGCTCTCCTCCCCTCCGCCACAAATAGCTTCCTGAGCTGGATTCAAGACCAGGTAATCCAGGAAGAACAAACTTCAGATCTGTGTGATTAGGGTCAGAAGGCCAGGGCCACGGACTGTCAGGGTGGAGGGCCCTGGAGTCCTGTTTTCAACTGCTACCGAGAAAAGGGCTCCCATGAAGCCCCTTCCTCCACTCATCCCCACAGATGCCTAAGGGCTGAGAATTCCCTCCAAATTAGGAGACTTATGGTGCATGTGCTGGAAACCTCCATCATTACAAAATAACCCCTAAACTGACTTAGGGCCTGGACAGGTCAGCCTGACCTCTAGAAACCTTATAAGGAAGTTCTGTTCCTGAGCTACCCTGAATCCTTAAATGCTACTGTTGCCAATTACAGCCCAGGTGCAACAATATTACTAATCCAGGCCCCCTCCCTCTACAGGCAAGGGAGCTCAGTGCTCTGGGGACCCAGCCAACAATGGCTGCTGCCTGGCTCTACTAAGAGGGAGAAGCTAGTCCCCTAGGGACCCAGATGCACAGGCCTAGACCTGCTACCATGGGCTCCTCCACCGCTGTCTGGAAGCCCTGAGTTCTGCTGTTCCTACAGTTCCAGAACTGAGGTCCACTCAGGCACCTGTCCCCACCCATGCAAAGGAGCCCCAAGAGTTGCTCTCACAGAGGGAGCCAGGGCAGGCTTGCTGATGAATGAGGCCTGTTCTTTGAGCCACCGCCTCTGCCATGAGGCTTCCTAGTCCTTGTTCCCTGCCTGTGGGGGCCCACCCCACCCCCCTGCCCTGAATGCCCAGTTGTCTGCCTCCAGGCAGGAGCCATAGCAGTCTTGCTTATGTGGGGCCCTCAGTACTACTGATAAAAAGAGTCCTATTTACAGAGCACGCACAGCATGCCAGGCTAGGCAAAATCAGAGCATTTACTTTCACAATATCCCTAAAAGTTCAGTGCCATTATCCCCATTTTACTGATGTACAAACTCAGAGAGGTAAAGTTACTTGCCCAAGGTCACACAGCCAATTATGTATCAAAAGTGGGACTCCAGCCCAGGCAGTCCCGCTCTGAATTTCCATGTGGAGACCAGGCCTCCCGCCTCCCCTCAAAAGGAAAGGCCCTGGTTGTCCAGCCTAGTCCAGCCTAAGGGGGACATTAATCCACCCCCCCCACCCAACGAGAGGGCCCAGGTCAATGCACTGACGTTTTCAGCTCAAGTCCTTCCAGGAGAGGAGGGAGGCCGGCTCCAGACTTCCAGGGAGCCCCAGGTGAGGGCATTAAGGTCAGGAAGACCTGAGGGTCTTAACATCACCTCAGTAACTCAGCCCCCACCTGGCCTCCAGGGTGGGGCTGAAGAGAGAGCACTCAGTCTCCCTCCTCATTACTACAGAAAAAGCCAGAAAAACTCCATGGTAAAGGGGTCACAGTGGCAGCTGCCGCCCCACCACCATGGGCAAGGGGAGGGACCCCTAAAAAAGGAGAGTGGGGAGGCCACAGATTCTCTGAAAGGAGGGGAGGGGCGAGCAGGCAGGTCCAGGGAAGGGAGTGCTCGGGGTCTGCAGGAAGAAAGGTTAGGGACGCCGGCGCGGGGGGAGCGGGTGGGGGAGGGGAAGCGGGGGGCAGGGCGGGAAGGGGGCGGGGGCCCGGGGCGCGGCGCCGGGGTCCCTCCCGCGCTCCCCGCCCGCGGCGCTCACCGCCGGTGATCCGCTGCAGCCCCAGCACGTCCTCCGGCCCGATCGGCTGCTTCCTCCGCAGCGGCCCCAGCTTGGGCCCCAGCTTGGGCCCCAGGCCTGCTTCGGGTTCCGACTCGGACCCGGATTCGGAATCCGCCCGCGGCTGCGGCTCCAACTTGGACTCCACGCTGGGCCCCGAGGTCCCCGGAGCGGGCTCCGCCCCCGACCCAGCCCCGCCGCCGCCCTTCTTCACCTTCATGGCCTCGCGGGGCCGCGGCTCGCCTGCTGCCGCCGCGGCTGCTGCGCCGGCTGGAGCCTGGGGAAGGGGGAGCGCCCGCAGCCCCGCCCCCGGCCCGGGCCCAGGTACCGCTCCGCCCAGGCCCCGCCCCCTGGGTGGGCCCGGCCGGCGGCCCGCCCACCCGCGCAGGCTGCGGCTCGCCGGCGGGGGGGGGGGGGGGGGGCTCGCGGTGGGCTCCAGCACTTGGTCGACGCGCACTCTAGGGAGGGCCTGGCTACTTTTCCTCCTAACCAGCTGTGCTCCAGCCACTCTCCTCTTCTCTGCACCCGTCCAGTGAGTTCACACCTCAGGGCCTTTGCCGGAGATGCTGCTCCCCCAGATGGCCTCTTGTCCTGGTGACAGCTCAAGCGACATCTGTTCCAAGACCCTCCTTCAACCCAATCTAAAGTGCTAAACCAGAGTCTCTACCTGATTTGCTTTCCTACTACATTATCTGAAATTAATTTGTACACTGACACCTCACCCAAAAGATCAGTTTGGGGTAAGCAGAGAGCCCGTCTTCTATCATACCCCGGCAGCTAGCCCAGTGTCTGCTGCAGCCCATGCTCAGTGTATTTTCTTTTTTTGAATTAAGTTAGTATCTGAGGGCTTACACTGGTACAAAAGATCCTCTCCCAGATGCCCTAAGAAAAAACAGAGGCTAACAGCCTTGTTGGGCAACCCAAGACATGCCGAGGGACAAGAGCTTGGGTGTCTACCTCCCAGTCAGGGAGGGAGAAAGGGCACGTGGTCACACGGAAGCAAGGTGGATCTGTGATGTGAGTCCAGGGGGATAGATTCTAGAAAACCATTACTACACATGAATGAAGGAAATGCTCATACTTCGCATCAGTCCATCTCATATTCAATCAGTTTATTGAGAACCCAGAATATGCCAAACACTTTCACAAGTTTGTCACATTTAATTCTCAAACCATATCATAAGGTGAGGTAATAGTAGTGCCATTTAACAAATGAAAAACTGAGGCCTAATAGCTTATTCAAAGCTCCCCAGATGGTAAATGCAGAAGCAAGGGTGCTGAGTTCAGGCATGACTGATGCCAAGTCATCGCACTGCCTCTGTGTAAGGATGATGGGAGCCCCTGCAACACACAGCAACAGGTCCAAAGCTGCCACTTTCTAGATTCTTGTGAGGCTATACCCAACAGCATCACCAGTCAGGAGGGAGGGGAATAAGGGAGAAGACCCAGAGGTGATCTGCACCTGGCCCTTCCATGACAGGAGTGCTCTCCCTAGGGCTTAGGGAATAGCATGGAATGGAACCAGCTCAGGTTTTCCCCCAATGCTCCCTCTCAGCGCAAGAGGACTGTGAGGAACAAGGCTGAAGCACAAGCTGCCCCTGTCCCCCAAGGGAGATAGGCAAGTATCTTCACATTCAAGCTGGATAAACAGCCCCAGAGGATGTGACTTTTGAGATGGTGTGTTGGGAATGGGATTTGAGCCAGAGAAATAGGAAGGGACAATACTAATTTTCAAGTGTGGGGGTTTGGTTGCTGGAGAAGGCAGGGCAGCTGGAGAGAGACCAGTCATTCATGACAGGCTCCACTTATGTGCCTCTCAGTCTAACACTTTCCACCTGGCTGGGAAGGAAGGTTTCCTATGAGACACTGTGCTGCTCAGTCTATCTTCTCAGGCTTCTTCCAGGACTTGCGGGTCTCCAAGAAGATCTTTACCAAAGACAGGAGGATGGGCACAGCCATAGGCAGGAAGAGCGGGATGTAGATGGCAAACTTTTGGTCATCAGGGAAATAGAGGAGGTGGAGGAGCGAGGGGTCAAAAAAGGCACGTTCTGAAGATGTCACCGCTTCCTGGCTGGCGACGAAGGCAGAGGCCAGGTGCCCAGCAGCCAGCTCCTCTGCTGCCTTCTGGACTGCAGCTACAGCCCTGTACACCTAGGAAGGGGGAAGGGATTATCACTAAGTCCGAGGCATTGGGGGTGGGAGGGCAGGTATGGGAGTGGGAGTACTGGGGCTCACTGTGTCTTCCATCGACCAGAGAGTCTGCCTGGAATTCACCAGGATACATGGAGGCCAGTATGAAAGGGACTATGGTGTATTTTCTCAGCGTTTGCTTAAAACCTCACACCCCCACCTACTGGGGAGCTGGCATTGCCTTCTAGAGGATGCCTGGAACTGAAAAAAGGAACCCCACACATACCTTGCTTCTCAATTGGCTCTGGAGGCACCGAACCCTAGGCCTTTCTGGCCACTCCAATCCTAGACCACATCCATCCCCTGCCCGCTTACCTCAGATGCCACATCATCCTTGATGACAATGTTGCTGATCTTGCCCAGAAGCTGGGCCAGGGAAGTGAGAGTGGTGGTGGCTGTGGCCAAGTTCTCCACTGACCGAGCCCAGAGCAAACGGTCCAGCTCCCAGGTCATTAGCCCTTCACTCTGAGGCCCTGATAACAGGCATTTTGGAGGCACCTGGGGCTGAGCAATCCCAAAGAGCAGCCTGTAGGAACAGTGAAGGAAGGTCAAGGAAGCTGAGACCAGAAAGTGGGAGAAGATGGCTAAGATTCCTGGAGTAATTAAAAGTGATTATCAGTCTAATCCAGAAACATGGGGGCTGCAGTAAGTGTTTTGGGGTACTGGGGGATGAGCAGTAACACTAAGCAACCCTAAAACCCAAGCCCAACATTTTCACTTTTACATATTTCTATACTGGACTTCTAAGACCTTGTTTGAAAAGGTTTCCATGGCTAACTATTTCTAATAACACAATTTAGTTTAATCCTCTTACCCTGCCTACTCTGGACAAATGGGGCCACTGAGAGTTAAGGGATGATCCAGTACTCCCTCTGACAGGGCATGCATGCTGTGCCTCGCTAATCCTGCACCCACGGCAAGACACCGCCAATCAATCAGTATCCTCTTTCCTGATGACCCCAGACAGCGGGAGAATCCTCAACATTGGTCTGCAGGCAGTCACTATCAACAGATCAGTCAGCTTAAGAATTAATAGTTAGGGCCTCCCTGGTGGTGCAAGGGGTTAAACACCGCACTATGAAGCAATCCACAGCCTCTGCAGCACAAGTTTGATTCCTGGCACTCCAGGGAGCAACCCACATGTCACAGCAGACCTCTCCTGATTCGCCCACTGCTCCCCTCAGCAGCGTACTTCGGTCAATCTGCCTGTTCTGTTCCCCACTCTGTCTCTGGTGAATCCACTCACTCCCTGCATCTCTGGCCCTGGGGCCCTGGACACAGTCAAGGTTGGTAAGATTTCATTTCAGTCAGCTCAGGAGATTGTGGTCAGACCCAGGACCTCACCGCAACTGAGCCAGGAACACTTCCATCACCCGCACCATGTCCACCTCGACTCTCACTGGCAGCTCTGAGGCATTGTAGGCTTTGGGGTCCACATTGTACACCTGCGAGGGGATAGGAGATTGTCACATCACACCAGGACTGTGCACAGCTCTCCCCTAGACACCCAGAGGCCATGAGCAAAAAGGAAGATGTAGTCTGTGCTCTTCAGAAATTATAAACCTGATGGTACAGCTAATATTTTTGATCCCTGCTATTAGCTTTAAATAAATTTTCTCTATTATCCCCTCAAAGCCCTATGAAAGAGATATTTTTATTCTATTTTAGAGTTCTGACCCATGAGAAACTCCTTAACAGAGGAGATGTCTAACAGAGGAGATGAAGTCCCCAACCTTGCAAAACTCCCACAAAAAGGGTTAAAACCTATGACGCACACAGACTGAGCTCTCAGCATGTGCAAATTGCTACATGCAAAAGGGTCAAATTATAGAAGACACTGGCAGAAATCAGATGCTGTGGGGCTATGAGGTACGAGCTACAAAACCCTCACCTCCTCGGTGCCAGTCACTCCCATAAGCTGGCCCATAGTAGACACCAGAGGACAATCTCAGGGAGCATCTGTCTCTCCCCAAAACCTCTGGGATCTGCAGAGTGTGACCATTACCATAATGCCACCCCAGCGGGGACTGTGGAAGGCGTTGGTGGCCACTGGAGCTCCATCCTTGTCCTGAATATACAGTGGGGTGTGGGCAAGCTCAGGTACATAGAGCAGAAAGTTGAGCACAGGGTAAAGGGAGGCAGCACTGGATCCTGTGGTACGAAGAGAAGGGGAGTCAGAACACCAAAACATGTTGGATCTAGATCTTCCAGAACAGCCTCTAACTTGCTGGTCACTAACTCTGGGTCTCAGGTTCCCCAGCTGATAATCACTAGGATGTCCTCCAGCCCTAGGTTTCTATGGTAAAGAACCTCTAAATATTCTTCCAAAGATTTAGTACAGTCCTTATCCCCCAAATGCCCCTGAAATCTCCCCTCCCCTCAGTCCCTCTTGACTAAGATAGCTTTTCTCTGCCACCACCACACTGTACTCATACTACTATAACTAGTTTTATACACAGGTATACATCTGACCTCATGCCAGTTCCCTGCTTCATATCTTTCAATGGCTGGCCATTCATACCAAGTTAAAGTTCAGACTCCTTTGTGATCTGGCACCTGCCTGCCTTGCCCACCTCATCTTTGGTAACTCCCTCACAACTCAGTCACACTAAACTTCTCTGAACCTGGGTCTCCCTGATGGCACAAGGGGTTAAGCACCGCACTATGAAGCAAACCACAGCCACTGCAGCACGAGTTCAATCCCCGGCCGACCTGGGAGCAACCCATGTGGTGCAGCAGACCTCTCCTGTCTCACCCTCAGCAGTGTATTTCAGTCAGTCTGCCTGTTCTGTTCCCCACTCTGTCTCTGGCGAGTCCTCTTATGCCCTAAATCTCTGGCCTGTACCCCAGCTCTTGTATGCATAAATAAATAATCTTTAAAAATACAAATAAAAAAAATAAGCTTCTCTGAGCCTCTTGAATGTCCACGCACTCTTACTCTTCTATATTGAGATTCATAGTTCCCTTGCCAGAAATGCCCTCCTATATGTCTGAACTCAGCACTGCCCCCAAAACAGTCCCCTGGCCAATGTCTGCTGAATGAACAAATGAAAAGGAATTTGCAAAGGCCTCTTGAGTCCTCACTAGCCTGAAATTCCACAATCAGTAATATATTCACTTTGGTTTGCCTGCATGACAGCTCTCGGTCACATCTACTCTTCCTAGTTTCCACCCCGCAAGTGAAAACCTAGAATCCTAGCATCAAGGTTCCTCAGCAGAATTGTCAATTTTTAAATCCTATCTTCATGTACTTTTGTCGTTGTCTTCCCCACATATGTGACCACATCTTTCCTGGGTAGCTTTTAGGGAGGGAGACACAGCCTATCCATTTCTAAAAAGTGCTGGGAAACATGTTTAAGCATTTTTAAAGCATCGGGAACATGATGACATGGAGATGCAAATGTCAACAGAATATCACGAAAAGGAAGCCTACATGCCCTGCACTCCTTTAACACCCTCAGGCCAACTCAGCCTAAGAACCATCACTACATACAACCCGCCTCCTAGGCCAGGATGAAGCTGCAGGTCCTTCCCCTGGCCTCCTCAGGAGCTCACCCAGCCGGGACTCCACTGGGTTGATGACATGGGGAAGACTGTGTGCGGCCAAGAAGTAGCTGGAGGAAGTAGGGTCAAAGCGAGGGTTTACCCCCAACACTGCATAGTAAAGGATCTGCAAAGAGGGAGATTATTTTATTGGTTTATATCCCACATTGTCCCAGAAAAGATTTAAGGTGCATTTTAAGGACCTAATTTAGGTGCAATTAGGACAGGGAAAAATATAAGATACAAAATCAGGGCCGAGACAAAATAGGTAGAGGGGAACAAATACAGATGTCAAGGGTAAAGTTCAATATACTAAATACATGCTTTGAAAGCCACATAGTTTACCAAGCTTTTACACAGCCTAAACAAAGAACAGCAGAATTCAGCAACCAAAAGATCAAATCTAGCCAATTATTCAGAAGTAATTACTCCCACTCCCAAGACCTGACAAAAATTTCTCCCACGTTTTCCCTAAAAGGACACTGTGTGATACAGAAAGCTGCATTCTTCACATCTTCGTTGTTACTACATTAGTCTATTTCAGGGTTTTTTGTTTTCTAAAATAAATTCCTTTAAGGATAGCACAACGAGCAAGCATTTCTAGAGGAAGTTATCAGGAAGTTAGTTTAACAAGCACTGATGAAACTCCCTGAAGTAGACACCAAAGAGGGAAACTAGATGCAAGAACCATAGACACACACAGGAAGTGCCTCGCAAATCAGCAACTCTGAGAGCTGGAAGAACAGACTATGCTTGTGAACACTAAATACAGGCAGGCTCTGAAGAGGGTGCAGCCAGAGGATTCCTCAGCTCATCCCTGTCTCACCTGAGAGTCCACAGAGATGTTGCCCGCAACACTGAGCGCATCCAGGAAGGGCTGCACGTAACGCTGGACAGCCCCCTCGATGTCCCAGTGGACGTCGTGGGACTTCGGGTCTGGGTTGAGCAAACTGAAGGTGATCTCATAGCCTGTAAGACAGAAGTCTGGGAAGTCAGAGGCTTCTTTGGACTAAAGAAGAGGGGAGGCCTGTTCCCATGGCTGAGTTGAACTTATTTCTTCTTGCCATCATGGAAGCAAAGAGAGGATAAAATTAGGAGGAACATTGAGTGCTTTAAAAAAAAACTTGAGACCAGAGAAGAAAGGGGTAAAGAGTTTACATGCAGGTTCCCCTCTGCCCCTGAATTCATTTCCCTCTCCCTTCCCACGGCAGAGCCCACACACCCTACCCAGGCTGGACTTGAGAGGCCGCCTCTTATCAGCACTCCACTTGTCTTCTGGAAGGTGGTCCGCCAGGGCTGCAGCAAGCACATCCTCAGTCAAAGACATGGCCTGGGCTACTTGGATTATGCGGCGGCCAATGATGTTAAAGGCTTCCCGGTGCACAATCCCCCGCACCACCGCAGTCCTCTTGGGCCCAATGTAGCTCAACATATCCTGTGAGGGGCAAGCAAGGGACAGAGTGCCCATGGCTCAGGGAAGAAAACAGAAAAGCACTCGGGCTCCTGTCTGAGACTCAGGCCTTTGGCCACTGACCAACAGGCCTGCATGTCTCTTTAGATTCATAGTTAACTCCCAATTGCATTTCTGAGCTTGTATTGAGAGTTTCAGCCACTGCAGCACGAGTTCGATCCCCAGGCAGGGAGCTACCCACATGGCGCAGCAGACCTCTCCTGTCTTGCCTGCTGCTCCCCTCAGCAGTGTATTTCAGTCAGTCTGAATCCTCTCACCCCCTCCACCCCGCACCTCTGGCCTACACCCCAGTTCTTGTATGCATAAATAAATAAATCTTAAAAAAAAAAGAAGTCCCTTCTCTTTCCCAGTAGACAGAGATATCCAGAGAATATCTAAATCTTCACTAGTTGAAAAGATGGCATGCTGAGCAAGAAAAGCAGAGTAAACAACAACTGGAAAGTCTGACATAAGTAAATGGCACATGGCTAAGAAGCAAACACAAGAATGTTCACAGCAGTATTATTTCCAGTAGTAAAAACTGTAGACAATCCAAATGCCTGTCAGCAACAGACTGGGTAAAATGTGATATGTTTGTACAACCAAACATTCAACAGAATTTAAAATTAGCACATTTGATTCAATGTATGATCGTAATGAGTCATTCAAACATAAATGATAAATAAAACAAAAGCTGCAGAACATGTGCTATACTGTACCATTTATATAAAGTTCAAAATATGTAAAATTAAGTATATTGTTTATGGAGATACAACATATGTATCTCTATACAAATCCAAAGAAAAGTAAAAAAATATCATCATTCAAAATGTGGTCACTTTGGCTGACAGGGAATGACATGTATTCATGAAGATGCACAGTATTCCAACTCTGTTGCTATTTTTGTAGTTTGCAACCCAGGGTGAATACATGAATGTTCATTAAAATGTTCTTTCATCTTTTCATAATAATTAAATCTCTCGGGGGCCTCCCCGGTGGCGCAGCGGTTGAGCGCTGGGTTGCGAAGCTGCCCACAGCCTCTGCAGCGCCGGTTCGATCCCCGGCTGCTCCCCGGCCACCGGAGGAGGGTCCCACATGGCGAGCAGACCTCGCCTGCCGCCCGCTGCTCCCCTCAGCAGTGTACTTCGGTCCTTCTGCCTGCTCTGCTCCCCGCTCTGGCTCTGGTGAATTCTCTCACCCTCCCGCGCTTCTGACTCTACCCAGTGCTTGTATAAATAAATAAATAAATCTTTAAAAAAAAAAAATTAAATCTCTCGGGCCTCCCCTGGCGGTTGAGCGTAGCACTGTGAAGCTGTCCACAGACTCTGCAGCGCCAGTTCGATCCCGGCCGGCCAGCGAGGGCCCCCATGGCGCGGCAGACCTCTCCTGTCTCGCCCGTGGCTCCCCTCAGCAGTGTATTTCATCAGTCTGCCTGTTCTGCTCCCCACTCTGTCTCTGGTGAATCCTTTCACCCTCCCACAAATCTGGCTTGTACCCCAGTTCTTGTATAAATAAATATATCATAAAAAAAATAATTAAATCTTTCATTATAAATTTTAAAAGAAAATGGTACTTGGTACTGAGCCTTTTTATCATAAAGTAAAAAGGTCAAGAAATCACCTGACTACCATCACAACTCATTCAAACCAGCTTCTTTCTTTTAATCCTGATTTTATTCCACTTTAAATGGTCACTGGAGCTTTAACTGTGTACAAGTCTTGGAATTAGAAAGTTCGAGTCAGTGAGTAAATTCCTATATGCTGGAGAATTTTCTACAGCAAATGGAAGAAATGGACTGCACAGCTGCAAGAAAGTGACCTAGGAGAGGAACAGCTGGACAATGCAAGGTCACAGCCCATCTTCTGCTCAGCCTACCTGGGGGAGAAGTGAAGAGTGCTCAGAGATCACGTACACAGTCAGGGAGCCCGCTGCTTGTTCCTGTGGCTCAGCTAACGTGGATTCTGCCTCTAGGGACAAGAGCAGGTGGTATACCAGGAGTGAAATATCAGTCTTCTCCTCGAGGGTCCCCTCCATATACCTGACAGTGGCCCAGGCTGAAATACAAGATATTTCTTTCCCAGCTTACCCAGAGACTTTGGAGTTAAGCTATGGAAACTATGCACTTAGAGAACAGAAGGGGAAAAGCGGCTTCATGTTCAAATGATATGATCACCCCTTCTGGTACCTTGCACACTGCCCAATGACAGGGCTTTCTCCTCACGGTCCAAAGCTCTCCGATAGGCCTTCTGGAAACGGCATTTGATTTTCATTTTGTCTGAGAAGGGAAGAAGCATAATGGGAAAAGTAAGAGTCAGATCTCAGCCAACATTCCCAGCCCTCACACTAACAATATCCAGTGACTGAGGAGAGCAAGAGAAGAGAAAGACCAGGAGGCCACAACCGATTCTAATGATTTCTGCAAGGATCATGTTAAACACCCAACATCCCGTCTCTTCCACCTGCCTAGCTCTTGCCTTTGACTATGCAATCACTACCTTCAGCCTGAAGGACCTCCCATGGAGAAGTCTACCATAATATTCATGACAGTAATAGATGAAAGGAAAAAAGTTGTATGATCATTTTAATAGCTGACCCCAAAATTAAATCCAATGAACAATCTTGGTAAGAACAAAACATACACAGTAAATATAGTTCCATCAAAGTGAGTAAGAAGACAAAGATCCCTACCCTCTATTCAGTTAGCATTGTTCTTTCTCACATTCCTGACCAATATAATAAGAAAAATAAACATAATTTTATTTGAAAATTAAATAAAACATAATTTATTTGAAAAAGATTAAATGGCCACTTCTGGGGGGGCCTCCCTGGTGGCACAGGGGTTAAGTCTCAGCACTATGAAGCTATCACCAGCCACTGTGGCATGAGTTTGATCCCTGGCCAGGGAACTGGGGTACAGGCCAGAGGTGCGGGGGTGGGAGGGTGAGAGGATTCACCAAAGACAGAGTGGAGAGCAGAACAGGTGGATCTACTGCAATACACTGCTGAGGGGAGCAGCGGGTGAGACAGGAGAGGTCTGCTGCACCATGTAAGTTAGATCCCTGGGCAGCCGGCAATCAAACTTATGCTGTGCTGCAGTGGCTGGTGATAGCTTAATAGTGCTGTGACTTAACCCCTTGCGCTACCAGGGAGGCCCTGCATAAATTTTTTATAAATAAATAAATAAATGGCCTCTTTGGAAGTAGTATAATTATTTAAAAAAAAAAAAAAACCTAAGAGGACCAACTGAAAAACTATTAGAATAGTAACAGTTCAGCAGCACTTCCACTGCCCACCTGTGCCTATGCACCAACTGTGCCTTTTCACCAACTCTCTCCCTCTGCAGGGCAGCAGCCTTCCTGCCTGCCCATGACCTACACCATGCCAGGGCTTCTCTTTACTGACCTCCCTCAGCAGAGACCGCTCTCCTCAAGGCCACCCGCCTGCAACCATGCAGGCCTCTATCAGCAAACCTGTCTCTTTCGGGGCAGCTCTTCCTGCCCACCTGTGTCTATGCAAGTGTCTTTTACTATCCTATCCCTTTTCTAATAAACCTGCTCTTTAAATATCAAAAAAAAAAAAAAAAAGAATAGTAACAGTTCAGTGAAATGACTAGATGTGAGAATAAAACAGCAACAGCTTTCTAATAAATACCAGCAACATCTGATAGAAAAGCAATCATTTTTCAAAATCGCAATGATAGGAATAAATGCACAAGACTATAAAAAAATAAAAAACAAGGACTTTACTTCAGGACATAAAAGATCGGAAGAATATGGGAAAAGCATGCAAACTCCTAGATGGAAAAACTAGTCTATGGATGTTCATTCTCCCCAAGTTAACCTATACACGTAAGGCATTCCCAAAGAAATAGTTTGCTCCCCTAGAATATGACAAACTGAACCTAAAATTTTATCAGGAAAGGGCCTCCCCCGGTGGCGCAGCAGTTGAGCTGCCTGCAGCCTCTGCAACGCCGGTTCAATCCCCATCATTCTGCCTGCTCTGCTCCCTGCTCTGGCTCTGGTGAATGCTCTCACCTTCCCGCGCTTCTGACTGTATCCAGTGCTTCTATAAATAAATAAATAACTCTTAAAAAAAAATTTTATTGGGAAAATTCAAGAATTCCAGGTCATATAATACAGAAGAAATAATAGATTTAAAAAACCACAGTTGCTGGCCTTCCCGGTAGCACAGTGGGTTGAGTGCAGCACTGCAAAGCTGTCCTCAGCCTCTGCAGCGCGGGTTCGATTCCCGGCCAGCAGGGGAAAAACCCACATGGCGCAGCAGACCTCTCCTGTCTTGCCCACTCTCCCCTCAGAAGTGTTTTTGGTCATCTGCCTGTTCTGCTTCCCACTCTGTCTCTGGTGAATCCTCTCACCTTCCCTCATCTCTGGTCTGTACCCCAGTTATTGTATAAATAAATCTTTAAAAAAAAAAAAAAATCACAACTGCTGGGCCTCCCTGGTGGCACAGCGGTTGAGCGCTGGGTTGCAAGGATGCCCGCAGCCTCTGCAGCGCCGGTTCGATCCCCGGCTGCTCCCTGGCCACCCAAGGAGGGTCCCACATGGCGCGCAGACCTCTCCTGCCGCCCGCTGCTCCCCTCAGCATTGTGCTTCAGTCCTTCTGCCTGCTCTGCTCCCCGCTCTGGCTCTGGTGAATTCGCTCGCCCTCCCACACTTCTGACGTACCCAGTGCTTGTATAAATGAATAAATAAATCTTTTAGGAAAAAAAAAAAAAAAAACACCATCAAGGATGCAAACCAGTGGCACTCCAACAACAATTAAAAAAAAAAATCACAACTGCTAATAAAACGAATTCCAGCACCAACGGATGCTAAAGCCATCAGGTGAAAGGTTAACGAGGAACTTTAAAATACAGAAATCAAGCTGACAATACATGAACTCACTAAATCATCTTTGCATCATCCAAAATGGGAAAATCGGCCATTATGACACGCTTCATGAAATAGCACAATAGGAAGTACACCACACCAATTTTAAAATATTCTTGCCTAAAAAATCAAACATACTAGATCTAAATACCAGTTTATAAGAAATATGGAAACTAGAGGGCCTCCCCAGTGGCGCAGTGGGTTGAGCACAGTACAGCACTGTGAAGCTGTCTCCAGTCTCTGCAGCACGGGTTCAATACCCGGCCGGCCAGGAAGAGACCCACATGGCACAGCAGACCTCTCCTGTCTCGCCCGCTGCTCCCCTCAGCAATGTATTTCAGTCAGTCTGCCTGTTCTGTTCCCCACTCTGTCTGAGCTGAATCCTCTCAAACCACACCCTCACCCCGCACCTCTGGCCTGTACCCCAGTTCTTGGATAAATAAAATAATTTCTTAAAAAAAAAAAAAAATTATGGGCTTCCCCGGTGGCGCAGCAGTTGAGCGCTGGGTTGCGAAGCTGCCTGCAACCTCTGCAGCGCCAGTTCGATCTCCAGCTGCTCCCTGGCCACCAGAGGAGGGTCCCACATGGTGCGCAGACCTCTCCTGCCGCCCGCTGCTCCCCTCAGCAGTGTATTTCGGTCCTTCTGCCTGCTCTGCTCCCCGCTCTGGTTCTGGTGAATTCTCTCAGCCTCCCCCGCTTCTGACTGTACCCGGTGCTTGTATAAATAAATAAATAAATCTTAAAAAAAAAAAATTATGGTGGGGGCCTCCATGGTGGCTCAAGGGGTTAAGACACAACCTATGAAGCTATCCGCAGACACTGCAGCACGAGTTCCATCCCTGGCCAGGGAGCAACACACATGACGCAGCAGACCTCTCCTGACTTGCCCGCTGCTCCCCTCAGCAGTGTACTTCAGTCAATCTGCCTGTTCTGTTCCCCACTCTGTCTCTGGTGAATTCTCTCACCCACCACACCTCTGGCCTGTACCCCAGTTCTTGTATGCATAAATAAATAATTTTTTTTTAAAAAAATATGGTAACTAGAAAAATAAGTTATATGAAACAAGGAAGAAGTGACCTGCCAGATCCAGAACGCAAGATGTTCTATAAAACAAATGACCTGGTTTCTCCAACTAATCAATAGTATATGCAAAGAAGTACTGGGGGTCTGGAGCAGGGAGCAGCTAATATATAATAAAAGAATTAGATGACATTAAGGAATTACTGCTAACTTGGCTAGGTGTACTAATGGTGGTTCAGTTTTTTAAAAAAAAAAAACCCTTCCATGGCTTCCCTTTTTATCTAGAATAAAAGCTGTCTGTGATCTGGCCCCTTGTACAGCTCTGGTTCTCTTTATTTCCTCTTAATCTCTCCCTTCTTCAGCTCATTCCAGCCACAATGGTATTCTTGCTGGTCTTCAGAGGCACCACACCCGTTCCCACCTCAGAACCTTATACTTGCCTTTCCCTCTGCCAAAAAAGTTTTTCTCCCAAATAGCTACACAAAAGACTCCCTCCCCTCTTTCAGGTCTTTACCCAATGCCCTATCTTCAATTGTCTTCTTTGGCCACCCTATGTAAAACTGCAATGATAACACCAACCCCCAAGAAAACCTCCTTAACGTCCCTGCCCTACTCTATGTTTGAGCCTTTCACCATCCAACATACACTTTTACTTGTCTGTCTTTTTTTAATTGTCTGTTCTTTTTCGGTCTGCTTTGTTCACTGCTGTATCTAACATAGGCGCTCAATAAATATTTGTTGAATAAACGTACAGCCCTAGCACTCTTCCTATTTAACAGATAAGAAAACCAAGTTCAGAGAGCTTACCAACCTCATCCAAATTCACACAAATAAGTGGCAGAAACAAGGCTTTCCTCCAGCTGAGTTCAGATTTCATACTTTCGATAGGCCCCTCCACTGTACTGCATATTATCTTATGGAATACTGTATCACTAAAAATGAGCAGTAGTACACCACAAACTGAGAACACAGCTGCAAACTAACATAGGAGTTACAATGCAATTTTTGTTTTGGGGATGTGTTTGAGAAACCAGACATATTTGTGTACACATTAAGTTAAACCATATAAAATGGTACGGTTGTTTTTAATGTCTTGACCAAGGTTAAAGAGCTGGAACATACTTGGCACACAGATACTTCACGGTCTACACTCAGTCTACAACTCCATTCACACCCAACCTTTCACTTCACATGGTGGGAGGAAACAAGTGTTCACAGAGTCCCTGATATGCAGATTCACCTCTCCATGCTTTATGCAGGAGGCAGTATTGTTTGCTGATGAAAGTCTGATCACTGGGATCAGTCAAACCTGGATTTAAAATCCAATCCCACCTCTTACTAGGTAACTGTGATCTAGGAAAAATCACACTCTAAGTTTGTTTTTTCATTTATAAAATGGAGCTCATAATGACCAGATTAAATGAGACAACACACCGAAAGTGTCTCACCTACTTTCAGGCATACAAAGAGCAACAATAACAGCTTCCGTGATTTAGGTGTCTTTCTCTCTTACCTACCTATGGATTTCTTGAAATCATTAGCATTTTCTAATTCATTCCCAAATCGTTCCTAGTACCTAAGAACAGTACCTAACACTTAGTAAAGTGGGTTTTTTTTCTAACCAAACACATGTTCATTCGGAGAAGTCTTTTAATAAGTTTTTAACTACCTTATGGGGCATCCACGCTGTTCCTCCCCAATCCATCTCTGGACAGAGCTGACACCAGAAAGGGAGCCCTGATGACCTAGGAACTCACATTTCAGCGGGATCTCTCTCTCATGCACAACGGTGAAGGGCAGCTTCTCCTGGTCGTCCAGGGGCAATGATTCCCGGGTAAAGACGACAGTGACAGGCACCGTGAGCCGGAGCTTCGGGAAGAAGCATCAGGACCATGAGTTGAGTCTTCAGCCTTGCCGGTGGGCTGCCCACGACCTTCCCCCACCGAGGTCTCACCTGCAGAGCATTCAGCCCGCTGATCTCGGAGTAAGGCAGCGGGGCTCGGTAGGTCTCCGTGGTCTTCCACCAGAGCGGCAGCCCCAGCACGATGGCCACCGCAGCGAAGAAGAGGGCGGAGCGCTTGCCTCGGACCACCTCTGGGGGGACCAGAGGATCGACTCAGGCTCGGGAAAGGAGGTTCGGGTGCCGGCCCCACCCCCGACGCGGAGGAGCCTGGGCAACCCGCACAGTCCGCCCGCATTCGTAGGGATCCCCGCGCCAGGAGCCCGGCCCAAATCTGCAGGGATTCCGTCAGAAATGACCCCCGACTCTCAGTCCGCGGGACCTCTGACACACCACAGTCCCCGCCCTCTCGTACCTCCCCAGCAATTCGCGAAACGCAGGCCCCCGACCCAATCCCCACTCACCTAGGTCGGTAGAGGTGGCCGCGGCGGCGGCCATACTTGCTTCCGGCTGTATGGGGGCGGGGCTTGGGAAGCTTCCTCCAATCGTAAGCCACCGCGGCGATCGGGACCAATGAGGAGCAGCTCTCTGGACCGGCAGGCGGAAGCAGGCCGGCGCGGGTGGGCGGAGCCCGCGTCAAAACAAGCGGCGAGTTTGAAAGGTTACTAGGGCCCCAAGGGGCGGTCGAGGGTGGCGCGGTTTCGACCCGTATAGGAGATTAGATTAATCTCCCGCTTCCTAGTCCACACTTCTAGTCCCAGAGATTAGGACCGCAAACTCTGCAGTTGTTAAATACTAGCTGGGTAACCATAGGCAGCTCTAAGTTTCAGTGTTCCTCACTAAAATGAGGATTCATGTATAGAATCTGGCGCACGGAAAGCGCTCAAATGTCAGCCATCAAGGTCGTTGCTTATCATCGCTATCATAGAGCTCCTCTTCTGAATAGCCTCTCCTCAATCCTCAGACTTGGAGATTGCCAGTTAGTAGTAACTTTTAGCAGGTTTGACTCATTCGGTATTTTTATATTCATTTGAATTCGTTGCTTATAAAAGCCTGGGTACTTCACTTAAAATTCTTGAAAATTCATAAACACAGACTCTGGATTTTTTTTTTTTTAAAGATTTATTTATTTATTTATTTATTTATTTATTTATTTATTTATACAAGCACTGGGTACAGTGAGAAGCGCGGGAGGGTGAGAGAATTCACGAGAGCCAGAGCAGGGAGCAGAGCAGGCAGAAGGACCGAAGTACACTGCTGAGGGGAGCAGCGGGCGGGCAGCAGGGGAGGTCTGCGTGCCATTTGGGACCCTCCCCCGGCGGCCCGGGTTCGAACTGGCGCTGCAGAGGCTGAGGGCAGCCTCGCAGGCCAGCGCTCAACCGCTGCTCCACCGGGGAGGCCCCAGACTCTGAATCTTAATGATTTGGATTCAGATTCTGATTTCACCACTTACGACCAAAGTGATGTTGAGAAGTTACGTTTTCCGTGCCTGTTTCCTCATATTAAAACAGGGAGACTAATAGGTCTACTTTATGTGAAGGTGTTGGAGTAAATGATTTAATAAATCAAGTGATTAGAATAGGATCAAAGTGACAGGAATATATAAAGTGTCATACAAGTCTTACTTTTGTTCGTGTAAGATCAGGTCACACTGAGCCTACATTTCCACATTGCAGTAATTAGCTAGATGGAGGATTGGTTACCTACTTTACACAGAGTGTGGCCTCCTTGGTTCACACAACACACACCCATCACATTCTCATCTTCATCTGCTCAGCTAGACCCAAGTGCTTACATCCCAGTCAAGTGGTCATAGTTCAGCATGAGACTTCACCACGTCTGCCTTTGCCCAGTCTTTTCTCCCCATATGCCACAGAAAATGCACACCAGCACTAGCCAGTCTCCCAGATAATCTTGCTCTGCATGAGTTCTGAGGCTTAGAGGTTTTCCCATCAGCCAGAAGCCCTGGTGCTCCTTCTGCAGTGACTCCCCCTAGTGGACTGTGTCAAGTCAGCAGCTTGTCCTGCCTCCTACTTCGGACTTTGCACAAAAGCTGCCTTCAAGAGTTACTGAAATCGATGGAATTGATGTTTCTGTGTCCTTTGGGTAAATACCTAGGAGTGGAATTGCTGGATCATATGGAAGCTCTATGTTTAGTAGGTCAAGAAATCTCCACACAGCTCTCCATAGTGGTTGGACAAGTTTGTACTCCCACCAGCAGTGCAGGAGAGTTCCTTTTTCTCCACACCCTCGCCAACATTTGTTGTTGCTGGTTTTTTTTAATATGTGCCATTCTCACTGGTGTAAGATGGTATCTCATGGGCCTCCCTGGTGGCGCAGCGGTTGAGCGCTGGGTTGCGAAGCTGCCACAGCCTCTGCAGCGCCGGTTCGATCCCCGGCTGCTCCCCGGCCACCGGAGGAGGGTCCCACAGGGCGCGCAGACCTCTCCTGCCGCCCCCTGCTCCCCTCAGCAGTGTACTTCGGTCCTTCTGCCTGCTCTGCTCCCCGCTCTGGCTCTGGTGAATTCTCTCACCCTCCCGTGCTTCTGACTGTACCCAGTGCATGTATAAATAAATAAATAAATAAATCTTTAAAAAAAAAAAAGATGGTATCTCATGGTAGTTTTTTTTTTTTTAAGAGGCATGTTTTTTATTTATTTATTTGTTTGTTTGTTTGTTTTATACATGCACTGGGTACAGTCAGAAGTGAGGGAGGGTGAGAGAATTCACCAGAGCCAGAGCAGGGAGCAGAGCAGGCAGGACCAAAGTACACGGCTGAGGGGAGCAGCGGGCGGCAGGAGAGGTCTGCGCGCCATGTGGGACCCTCCTCCAGTGGCCGGGGAGCAGCCGGGGATCGAACCGGCGCCGCAGAGGCCGCAGGCAGCTTCGCAACCCAGCGCTCAACCGCTGCGCCACCGGGGAGGCCTCATGGTAGTTTTGATTTGCATTTCCCTGATTACAAGTGATGTTGAACATTTTTTCATATGCCTGTTGCCATTTGCATTTCCTCTTCAGAGAAGTTTCTTTTTAGCTCTTCTGCCCATTTTTTGACTAGGTATTTACCCAGAGGACACAGAAACATCAATTCCAAAGAGCACCTGCACCCCTATGTTTATAGCAGCACAATTTACAATAGCTAAGCTTTGGAAACAACCCAAATGCCCAAAAATAGATGACTGGATCAAGAAGATGTGGTACATGGGCCTCCCTGGTGGCGCAGCGGTTGAGCGCTGGGTTGCGAAGCTGCCCGCGGCCTCTGCAGCGCCGGTTCGATCCCCGGCTGCTCCCCGGCCACTGGAGGAGGGTCCCACATGGCGCGCAGACCTCGCCTGCCGCCCGCTGCTCCCCTCAGCAGTGTACTTCGGTCCTTCTGCCTCTGCTCTTCTCCCCGCTCTGGCTCTGGTGAGTTCTCTCACCCTCCCGTGCTTCTGACTGTACCCAGTGCTTGTATAAACAAACAAACAAACAAACAAATAAATAAATAACATGCCTCCATTAAAAAAAATTATTAAAAAAAAAAAAAAAAGATGTGGTACATATACACAATGGAATATTACTCAGCCTTCAAAAAAAGATAAACACAGGCAATTTGCAGCAACATGGATGGAGCTGGAAGGGATCATGCTCAACAAAATAAGCCAGAAAGAAAAAGAAAAATGCCGGATGGTCTCACTCATAGCAGGAATCTAGAAAACTTAAATAAGAGACCAGGAAAAAGAATAACTATAAGAAAGTAAAAATCAAAATCAACAAACAACTATGAACCAGAGACACTCTATGGAGGGTGGGGGGCAGGGAAAGAAGGGTTTGGGGTCAAAATAAGGGGGTTGCAATTGTATGGGGAATATAAAAATAAAATTAAAATAAAAAAATTCAGCTTACCAAAAAAATAAACATATCATAAAAAAAAAAAAAGTTACTGAAATCTTGCTTCATGCCATCCTTCTGCAGCTGCAGTCTATGACTCTGAAGTGCCAGTCTCTAAAAGATCAGCAGCCCAACATACTGTCTGCTCTAACCTTGGACATCAATAGGCAAGGGCCTGAACTGGGAATCCTAACTGGGTGTGGCCTTCCCCATAAACTTAAAACTAAGTAAAATTCAAAACCCACCCTTTCCATCTCCACAGTCAGAGACTCCAGAGAGGAGTCAGAAACATGGAGGTGGGAATTTGATGCATAAAATACACAGACAAAACATGTTTTGCTACATTTATTTGTTATGTGGTATGTACTCTAGCATGAGTCAGGTCTAGTGTCCTACCCTGTGATTCCAGGAGAGAGCACAAGCAAGGGAAGACCAATGGGGAAGTTGTGGGTGCTGGCAGAGGCAGAGGGAAGATTCTGACATACTACTCTGACTTCAAGCAAAGTCTCCTGCCCTCAGTCATCCTTTTATCCAATGGTCTCAGGTAGCAATGGGAGAGGGCAAGGGAGAAAAGGATTCAGTATTGGCTAGAGAGAGGCATCTCTGCTCTGAATGGCTATCACTACAAGCAAAACTGGGTGCAGGTGGCCAGGCCAATGGTTGTGTGGGATGGGTACTCAGTAGGCATGGTTGGCAATGTAGAGGGACTGTGCTGCAGCTCCACCATCCTCTCCAGTGCCTTCATACTTGCCCTGGGCGGCAAGCCCATTCACCTGCAAAAGGAGGGGAGGTGGTAAGCAGATCAAACCAACCCTCAGGTGCCACACCCTCTAGGCTGTTGCCACTAGCTGCTTCCCCTGCCTAGCAACACACACAATCCCATGCCCACAACCTCAGCCCGCTTGATGAACTCCTCAGTGGCAGCCCCGGCATTGTCCCGTTGCCCTCGCCAGGCATTGAGTGCAGAGGCTTGCAGGGCACGCCCATAGGAGAAGGTGAGGGCCCAGGGCCTGGGAAGGGGACATCGGTTGATGGCATTGAGGTTGAGAGATGCTTCCTCTTCACTCTGACCTCCAGACAGGAAGGTCACTCCTAGGGTGAAGAAGAGAAGACAAATTGGTCACTTCCTATTTTTCCTGGGTAAAGGACCCCAAAGGCAACGAGAAGAATCTGAGGTTGAGTCTTAGGGATAGCAGCAGGTTAGAAAGGGTGGCACCTGGAACAGCTGGGGGCACAGTACGACGCAGAGCAGTGACAGTTGCCATGGCAATCTCCTCCGGGCTATACTTAATGGGACAGGCATGGCCAGGGGTCACCATGTTGGGCTTGAGCAGGGTCCCCTCCAGGTACACATGATGGTCACTCAGGGCCTTGTACACAGCAGCCAGGACCTGGGGAGGAGAGGAGGTTTACTGAGGTTCTGGGCCCCTGCCATTTATCAGTCTATGTTCTCGTCTCAAAGTGGCTGGGCTTCACTGTGACTATCAAAACAGGCTCAGACTCACAAGTCTTTCCTGGGATCAAGTAAAAGAGGACTTGGGAAAAGTATCTGAATCTGAGCCATGGATTATGGAGAACAGGTTCCCTCGTCAGCTGCCCTGCAGTACATGCCCATGCCCAGGTGTAGGCTCACCTTCTCTGTAACATACTGGCAACGTTTGAGGTCATGATCCCCATCAGGAAGGATTTCAGGTTCCACTATAGGCACAATGCCATTCTGCAGGTAAAAGCAGGAGAGTTGGGAGGGGCAGTAGATGGGATGGGGGAAAGTCCTGTAACCCTCTTCCCCGGGCACAGGGCACCCAACCAACCCCCTCAGGAGCACAACACACCTGCTGGCAGATGCTGGCATAGCGGGCCAGCACATTGGCATTCTCCACAATGGCAAGTGCTGAGGGTGTGCGCTCGCTGATTTTCAGCACACAGCGCCACTTGGCGAAGTCAGCGCCATCCTTCTTGTACTGGGCACAGCGTTCCGAGAGCCCATCCAGACCTGCAAGCATAGTGCCAGCCTCATCACTCCGCCCATCTGTGCCAGCATCAACCACCCAATCGCCCTGTGGTGCTAAAAGTCCTATACCTTGAGTGGTGCTTTCTCCATCAGTCCCAGCTAAAGGCACTACACCCTTGTCAACCTATAGGAAACACAAAGAGAGGGCTAAACCCAGGCAAGATTCTCCACGCCACCCCTCACACATACACCTATTTTCACATTCACGCCTCTCCAGTGGCTGCACCTTGATGCCCACAACAATGCCTTTATCCTGGATGGTACGCATGAAGGGGACACCATTATCATCTTTTTGGTAAAGTGTCTCATGGAAGAAAATGACGCCTCCAATGCACTTCTTCACACGGTCGTCAGCACTGAACAGAACCTGGCGGTACAAACGGCGATTCTCCTCTGTGTTTTCCACCCCAATTTGGCTCAGCCGCTTGGCCATGCTGCCTGGAGACAAATGAAGAGAGGTGGCAAGATCATCCCCAGGGTTCTTTGGTCGCCTCGCATCACTCCACCACAGACCCCCCACCTACCTACAGATTCATCAGCAGCCAGAATGCCTTTGCCTGGGGCCACAATCCGAAGGGCGATGTCAGACAACTCCTTTTTCTGCCCAGCAGAAAGGGCTGGGTACGAGTGGGGCATGGTGACAGCTCTCTGGAATGGAGACAAGATAGTAAGACTGGACCACATCCACTAACTGCTCTGCTTCCTGTCCTCGCCATATGGGCCAAATGACTTTCCCTCTGCCCCACCCCCCAACAATCATGGGACTGGGAACAGGGCAGGCATCCTTGGCATGGGTTCTGGGCATCAAAGTGGCACCAGTCCTGCTGACAGCAGGCTTAGGGCCCAGTTCTCACAACTCCTTTTGTCCCTGGTGGGCAAAATTCCCAGCCTCAGGGAAAGAGGTAGGGTGGGGGTAGGGAGGGAAGCAGCCCTAAAGTTACAGTTCTTCTGATGAAACTGCTGCCCAAGCAAAGATGTCAATCCTCTCACTGACTTTCACCCCTTCTTCAATTAAGCAAAAGCCCTGACCTTTCCAACTTTCCCTTTCTCATCTTCAGCAGGGCCCCCAGGAAAGTGCACTTACTTCCAAGGCTTCTGAATGAGGCAAAAACACCCATCACTGCTCCTTCCCTAAGCTTCTGGAGGAAAGGTTTGGTTTTCTTGAGGGGTTAGGGGCAGCTACGGAATAGGAATGGTACAAATAACAGCCACAGGCTTTCATAACTTCTTTTGTACCCCAAACCTTACTGCTAGCGCAATTGGGAGTTGGGAGCAGAGGTCAGGCTTGAAAGGAGTAAGTAGAGAAAGGAAGAGAGTGATGAAGAGCAAGGAGACTTGCAGGGAGGTAATGGTGAGTCAGGGGGAAGGACCTAGACCAGGGGGACAGAAGGCAAGAGAACAGGAGAAGGAAATTAGCCTAAAAAAGGGAGGAAGCTGAGGTTAAAATTATCTGGGTTGAAGAGGCTGACCCCAATGAAAAATTCAAGAGACAGAGGAAGATTTAGGATTGAAAAAGTTGAGGTCCAGGTGTGAGAGCCGAGCGAGGGGTGTTGTGGAAGAGGCTGAGCCAAGGGATTAGGAGTTAAGATGCAAGAGAGAATGTAAGGAGACCGCGAGAAGGCACATCCAGGGACCCCAGGTATAGGGCAAGGACAGCAAGAAGAGCCAGGGAGAGGAAGCAGAGAGGGAGTAGCTCCCACCTCACCCGGAGCCTCACCTGTGCGCAGCACAGTTAGCGGCGGCAGCCACGGGAACAGCTCAGCCAGAGGAACACCTCGATTCTGAGGAGCAGCCGCTGTGGCTCCAGCCCTAGCTCCAGTAAATGAGGTGGCGAATGCCGCAGAGCTACGTGACACCCCCGGGGGGGCGGGGCCAGCACCTCACCGCCATGACCACGCCCCCTCCCCGAGACTGGCTGTCGCGGTGCGGCCACGCCCATAGGGGGCGGGGTGACAAGGTGGAGTGACTCCTGGCCCCGGGCCACAGCCGTGCAGGCAGTGGTGGACTCGCCCCCTCCCATCTCATGGAGCGCTGCCACCAGGGCCCCAGACACAGGAAATGGTCTTGCCCTCATTTCTGCCACAATAGCCTTTACCAAGTGCATATCACTGTGCGGGATGTTGGGAATTTTGCCTGTCACAACGGGTAGATGGGACAGAGGCACCAACGAAGTGTGGGAGTCCTGTGCAGGGAGTAAGTAACTTACTTGGGTGAATTTATTGGTCCTCACCCCCTTATTAACCAAGGCCTAGCGTGGAGGGGGATGGAGAAGGTAAGAGAATGAAGTCTTGTGTATTCCCCCCAGGCCCAAAGCCAGGGACAAACAGTCCAGTGCCCGGGGTATTTGGGGAAGCAAGGGAAGGGAGGAGGGGCAGCTGGTTTTGGCTCTGCAGGAGGGGTGTGTTTAGGGTACTCAGGCAGGAAGGCCAAGCTGCATCTCCCCAGACCTCATCCACCCCTCCCCCAAGAAAGAAGATTCAGTGAGCCTGAAAAAATACATTAAATATATTTTATTTAAATAGCATTCAAACATAGCTGAATTAAGTAATTAAAAAAAAAAAGATAAACATAGCTGGCTGTGTGCCAGTTGGTCCTGGAACTGGACGAAGGGTGTAGTGCGGGTAAAAAGGGGTGAAAACAGATTCCAGCTTTTCATTTCTTAGCTCAGAAATTCTAGCAACCCCTGTAGCTCCTTGCAACCCTTCACGACCTCTGGAATGGACAGCAGAGTCTGGGAAGAGAGGCAAAAAAGGCAGCTCAGGGTCACAGGCTTGAGACCTGAAGCTTACAGCCCCAGGAAGCACCCAGTCAACACTGAGTTAGAGAAAAAAAACAGAAGCCACAGAGCAGCCTGCAAGAGTGAGTAAGGCCCAGCTCTCAGCACAGGCTGGGAACCAGTGCTGTGCTCTTCTGTGCCTACTAGGGCCACACCCTATCCCAGGGTCTTTTTTAGTTGCATCAATTCCTTCCCTCCTTTACCTCACAAATATGCTGAACAATGTCATCTAGTTTCTTTAATTCCTTGTCAGAGCGCCGAAGATTCTCTTCTAGGATACTTCTCTAGAAAGCAAAGAGGCTAGATAAAGCCTGTGCTTAAAAGAATAGCACAGTTTTGGGGGCAAGGAAAATATGGCCAGGCACTTGCTGGTGGTTGAGGAAAATGCATGGGAATTCTTACATGGCTCTGGAACTTGACCATGAGTTTTGCTTTCTCATTTTTCATCTCCAGGAACATCACCCTCAGTTTATCCACCTAATGATAGTTATGTCCAGATCAGTAGGGGTATAGCCTAGGGTCCCCACCAGCTGCCCAGCTCCTCTGTCAACCCAGAGTCACCTCCTGGGAGAGAAACACTTTCTCCTGGATCCAGCTAGTGGCCATGGGCTGACAGCTGGGGTCCAACTGGCCTGCCAGAGTCTCTTGGAGCACCTTAGTCTCTGTCTCTGCACGCCGAAGTGAGCGGGTAAGTTGTGTCACCTCCTCTCTCAGGCTCTGGGGATAAGAATGGAAAGGTATTCACAAGCCCTCAAGTATCCTCTCAATTCTTCTACCAATGTGAACAAGGGTAGACCAGGGGATCTAATGCCCAGATTTGGGATCCTGGTTACCAGCAACACAGGAAGTAAAGGGCCAGGCATCTTGAACATACTATGAGCTCTCCACTCTTGTCTATCTGCTCTAGGATCTTCTCGTTCTGCTGCTGTATCACCTCCTGGAGCTCTTTTTCATTCTGTGAAGCCAAAGGGAGTAAAGAAGGTATTGAGGGAGGCTCAAATCTTACAGCCCTTGCCAGGAAATAGAATTTAGTGTCTGACCCATGCTCAGCCCAGGTGATGCCAATTATTAACACTCCAGTTCTCCCTCCAGGGCTCATCATACAAGTCACATTTCAGTACTGAGAGTTCTGCTAGAGTTCCCAACTTCTAGGTTAGCCTGGGGAGATGGGTCACCCCATAGCTGATTCCCAAAAGTGTAATGTCTGACCCCAGAGGGGCAAAACTAGGGCAATGATTGGAAAATCCCCACCACCCAGATTCCTGGAGAGACAATGATTCCCAGTGGGCCAGTAGAGCTGCTCCAGTTCGTTGCCCCACTTCTAGGCCCCTCCTTCACCTTGTAGCGCAAGCACAAGGCCTGGTTCAGCTTCTCTATATCTGCTTCCTTTGCCTTCTGGGCTTCCTGATGCTGTTCTTCCTGGGCCTGCAGTCTATCCTGCAGATCACAACTAGGGGAGGGAAGAATTCAGCATTATTCCTGTCCTCTCAGGGCTGGCTAGGCCCTTGACATTAGGGGTGTTCTCACTTGACCTGCTCTCGCTCACATTTTTCCCTGCAGACTCCTGACAGCTTCTTCTTTAGACTCTTGCAGCAGGGAACACAGGCTCTGAAGCTCCAGAGTCCTACTACTCAGTTCTGCCAGGCTCTTCTCCATGCCAGGGGTCTCTGAAAGGGAAAGTCTTAGGTAGAGGCAGAGGCGTGGAAAGAGTATAGCTATCATTTCCACAACTCTCATCCATGTTCCCCACCCACAGGATTTGAATGTCCGGAACATTACAGATCCCAAAAGGCAGTAATAAAATGAGCCCAAGTAGAATTGAGGTTTTTAGAGCAAAGCACTTCTCATTGCTTTAGTCTTTATCCTCACTACCAGATGTAGAAATAGGCAGGATCCCTGGAGAACCCACCCTAACCTGTAGGCTGAAGGGATGCCATGGATGCTACTCGGGTGAAGGCACTCTTGTCACTTCCAAGCAAGGGCACAGGAGCTGATTCTGTATGTAAAACAAAAACCAACCATGGTAGAGGCCCCTCTAGTGACCTAGCCAAGAATCTGCCCTGGAGAGATAAGTCTGTTGGTGGGCATCTCCAACAGCTGAGGATATCAGGAGTGGTCACAACTTCCCACCCCTAAATTCCAGGCCTTTAACCTTTGTCTCCTTTTGCTGTCAAGATGCTTCCCAAGAAGGCGCTGTTGGTGGGTGGAGGGTGTGCTTGGGTAAGAGCACAGGCTGTGTTTATAAGGGTCTCCGGATCAGCCTAAGGGCAAAGGAGAAAAAAATATCAGTTGCTTTTCAGGGTTAGTGATTTCCCCAAACTCCCCAACTACATCTGGAATGATATTCTATTACTTCTCTGTCTTCCAACTTCTCCATTAGCTTTTTTTCCCTGAAGTTAATTCTCTCACTAAAGCAACAATAATTAAAAAGAAAACAAAAACAAAAACACAACAAACCTTCTTAAATCCCTTTAGCTACTGCATTTTCTCTTTCCCATTAATTAAAAATAAAAAAGAAAAGCCTACATTTCTTGCCTATTATCTTCACCATCTATTAACTCCTCTGCCCACTACACTCAGGCTTCTGGCCCCCTTCTTCACCAAAATTTTCATCATTTGGTTCACCAGTGCCATCCTTACTTTCAAATGCAATGGGCGATTTTCAGCTCTTCTTTTCCCTGAGTTATTTCATAGTTAATGACCATATTCTTCCTTTAGAAACTTCCTTTTCTTAGCTCTGGAGCATGACTCTCTCTCCTTCAAAGGCAGGCCTCAAATCTTTCAGGCTATATCTTGTCTCTATCCACAGCCCATTTCTTGACTATTACTCATCCTTTGCTCTCTTAACATTTTAATCCATTCCCCAGATGACCTTACCTCAGGAACTCCACAGACACATCCACTTCCACAGATAATCCCTCAATCTGTCTCTCTCAGCTGGATTTTTCCCCTACTCTCCAGACCCAAAGGCTTGAGAGCCAGCAAAAAAATCTACCAGGATGTTCCATAATTCCACCTGAGAGATAATATGTACAAAGATAATATGCACAAATATGTACAAACCTAAACTCACCACCTTCCTTATACTAACTCCCCAAATCTGCCCCTCTCCTGTATTTACAAACCTAGATCAGCGTGAGCAGCCAGTTATAGTCTACAAGTCAAATCTGGCCTGCCAGCTGCTTTTGTAGATAGTTTTATTGGAATACAATTACATCCATTGATTTACACATTGTCATGGCCACCCCTGGGCTATAAAGGCAAAGTTGACTAGTTGAGACAGAAACACTTGGCTCGCAAGACTGAAAATACTGTATTGCCCTTTACAGGGAATGTCTACTGACCCCCGCTCTATAGTGTCGCTATCTTCCCATCAATCTAAGTTCAGTTACTCTTCTACCTTACTTCAACATAAAATTAGTCAAGGTTCTATTACTCCTACCTTCTAACTATGAATTAAATTCATCCAACTCATCCCTACCCCTACTATAAGTGCCATGAGTTCAAGTCTTCAAAATCTGACTTCTACCTACTTCTCTACTCCGGTCTCTTTGCCATCCTTGCCCAATATAGAACCTACACTCCAATGATTAAAAAGTCACTTCCTAAGCAACATAAATGCCCCAAAATAGATGAATGGACGAAGAAGACGTGGCACATATACACAATGGAATACTACTCAGTGATCAAAAAAGATAAACTCATGCCATTTGCAGCAACATGGATGGAGTTGGAAAGGATTATGTAAAGCGATATAAGTCAGAAGGAAAAAGAGAAATATCAGTTGGTTTCACGTATAGGTGGACTATAGGGCAACTAAACAAAGGGTCAGGAAAAAGACAAAATTTGCAAACTGATCATAGATCTGAGGCACACAGCAGGGGAGGGGCGGAGAGAGGTCAAAACAGAGGAGGGAAAAGCACAAGGGACTGTGGTGATGGTTTATAGGTGCTATGGTGCTGGGAGAACTACAGGGACTATATCTGAGGGGAGAAATCAAACATTATATCAAAATGAACAACAATAAAGAAAATAATAAGTAAATTAGAAAAAAAAGCCACTT